CCATTGAAACTCATAGGCCTCTGTTACTTATTTAGTCACATAAACTCATTTCAGTGCGTCTGTTCTGAGTAGAATGAACACCAGGTGCAATCTAGTTTTTTAATTTAAAAAAATCCTCACCCATACAGATACAACGTAAATTGTGGGGCTCATGCCTGCCCCCTAATACTGGAGTAAGTGGACAAGTAGTCAGTGGCATAGCGTGGGTTGCTAGCGCCTGAAGCTGTGCGGAGTAGGGGTGAGAGGGAGGGGAACGGATGGACTATGCATGTGCATTCAACTGCCTAACAGTGCCTGCGTCACCCAGAAGACTGTAGCTGCAGAGATAATAAAAGAAGAGTCGTTCCGTTGTCTGGAGAGGTCACTTCCTGGTTCGCATGGAGAAGCTGTTTTCAATTGCACCCCAAACCATTTTGTGCCTGAGGCAACCACCCCTGTGGCCAACCCATGCTATGCCACTAGTCAGAAAATGGACAGTGCAGCTTCTTATCTTTCCCATCTGCCATCAGAATTTTAAGGGAATTCTGCATGGCCTGGTCACAATACTGGGATCAGCACAAATGCTTTAAGGCTTGCCTGGATTAAATGTGCAGATCTCAGCCCGGAGGCCGCAGCATCAAGTGCCAAGTTACTGTGTAGGCAGGGCAATGACTGCATATGCTTGAGCACAAGACCAGAATTGTTTGGGCCAAGTAAAGGCATTTCCATTGGCCTTTGTGAGCCGAGCATTCTCTGTGTTAAATATATGTGTGTGTGTTGTTGTTGTTTTGTGTGTGTATAAATATAATAAATTTCTTACAGATTTTTGATTGCCACCTTGTTCCTCCTGCCCACCCCCCTTGCTTCTGTGAATATTTATAACCAGGGTTTTGAAAAAGAGGCTTGTGTGCGGATTAAGATGCACGGGATGGAGGGGCATACAAAGGACTACACAGATCTAGAAGCCTTTTGTTTTCGAGAGCTGTCCCTGAGCCAGGAGTGGGAGCACACACATTAGCACTAAATATTGGTTTTGGCAGCTCTCTGAGCTAAGCACAAGGGCCATTGTTCCACTTACTGGCAGCAGAGTGCTGTTTAGAATATGTAGCTGTTGTGAACGTCCAAGATGTTTCTTATTGGGCCAGGTCTGGTTTTAGTCTCAACCAGTGTTTCCCAAACTTGGGTCTTCAGCTGTTTTTGGACTACAACTCCCATCACCCCTTGCTAGCAGGACCAGTGGTCAGGGAGGATGGCAGTTGTAGTCCAAAAACAGCTGAAGACCCAAGTTTGGGAAGCCCTGCTTAGTAGATGAATCAGCTAAAGCTCTTGATTTATTGTGGAGGGCCATTAGGTGAGGAGCTGCAAAGGAACAGCAGTCTTGTTTAGTTTCTGAAACTGTTCTGATGATGACTACATAAATGTAGCTGTATTTTAAAAAGTGTTTTTCTTTGAAGAATAGCATTTTTTTATTTATTGAATGATCAGCTGCCTTTGGAGTCATCACCTGATGGCAGGCACTTATACAGACTGGCACCTTGAGATCTACAATGAAAGTGCCTGGTGAGTCTCCCTAGGGAGAGCATTCCACAAGCAGGGAGCCACCACAGAAAAGGCCCCTTCTTGTGTTGCCGCCCTCCAGGCCTTTTGTGGAGGAGGCACACAAACAAGGCCTCGGGTGATAATTGCAGGGTCCAGGTTAGTTCTTCACAATCAACCATAATTACACAACCGGAACTTGCCAGCATAGGACTGAATCCCACCTACAACAGTGACAGTCTAGAAGGGCCCACAGTCTGGAAGCATTCAAACTCCAGAGGCTCTATTGCAGAGGTCAGACTTGCCTGAAGCAATGATTCTTCAACATCAGCTTCATTGGACTGGTCATGTTGTGTGGATGCCTGATTATCATCTTCCAAAGCAACTACTCTATTCCAAACTTAAAAATGGAAAGCGTAATGCTGGGGGTCAACAAAAGAGGTTTAAAGACTGTCTCAAGGCAAATCTAAAAAAATGTAATATAAACACCGACAACTGGGAAACACTGGCATGCAAGTGTTCCAGTTGGAGAACAGCCTTTACCAAAGGTGTCATGGACTCTGAAGACACTCAAACTCAGAACGCAAGGGAGAAACATGCTAAGAGGAAGGCACGCTTGGCAAATCCACACCGTGATCAGCTGCTGCCCGGGAACCAGTGTCCCCACTGTGGAAGGATGTGTGGGTCCAGAATTGGCCTACACAGTCACTTATGGACTCATTTTTAAAACCGTGTTTATGGAAGACGATCTTACTCGGCTACGAGTGATCGCCAGTGAAGAAGAAGAAACATGCTGCCCTCCTCCCTCAGTGTTTGCAAAGATGCAGGGAGAGGAGAGGGGAGAAAGCAAGGGGTAGAAAAGAAGGTAGGGAGACCAGGAAGAAGAGAAATAAAAGGGAAAGAGGAGAGGAGAGGAGGAAGGAGAGCTCAAGATAAAGCATAATCCAGAAGTGGAGCAATCTCTAGCAAGCACTATGTGCTGGGAAATTGTTAGAGGTGTCTGGTGTGTGAAAGCAGCTGCTGGTTTCTCTATAGGTATTGCTCAACTGGATGCATTGAAGCACATTGGTAGGCGGGCTTTTCTGACATTTTGCTGTCTGCTGTCTGTCACCACACCCCCTACTTCCATGTCAATCAGTCCAAAGGAAAAGATGCATCCAGCCTTTTCCCATCGGTTGTTGTTGAAGCTTTGCTTTTAACAGCAGTCTTGTCTGCAGACAATAGCAGGCATGCTTTTTTTTTTAATGCACAGCTTTCTAAATTCTCCCTTTTGTTTTGTTTTTTGATGTGCTGCTTTATTATTTTAAGTGACTATTACCTGCTCTCAGATTATATGATTCATGGAGGGGAGTATAAAGTGTCCAAAGCTGTAATCCTTCCCCCATTTACCTGGAAGTATACCAGCCCTGTATTCAATAGGACTTACTTCTTTCAGACCAGGTTAGGACTGTGCTGTTTTTAGCCTGTTGGAAGGGGACCTAATCCCCTCCAGGTGTTGTTGGTCTTCAGCTGCCATCACCTGAGCATTGGCTATGCTGGCTGGGGCAGAGTTGGAGCTGAACATCAGCTGCAGGGCCACAGGTTCCCTTCCCTGGCCTAAGTACCGGTAGCTATCTGCATTTAAATAGCCTGAGAGCAAAATGGGATGTCTCTGCTTTAAAAGAAACACACCAAAACCCCACAGTACGATCATTTCACCAGAAGATGGTGCTAAATAACGCCAAATAATTTTGCTGGACTCACTCTGCTTCCCCCAGCATTCATTTCATAATATTCACGCCATTACATTTTGTTTATATCAGAATTATTTTGTGCTGACATTTTGAAGGCCTCCGTTTGCTGATTTTTCAGGAGGACAAAGAGATGTGGGGGGCTCTTTTCAACAAAAATCCAAGGCCTGTGTTTCAATATATATTCAATGTTCAAGTGTATATTGCAAAATGGTATTCCAGAAGGAGAAGTCTACATGATCTGAGAAAAGCAGGGAGCCTGTCCACCTGCCCTCCATAATTGGTGCTCCAACGCTTCCTCTTTCACCACCTTTAAAAAAGCCCTGGGTTCAGGTAATGAGAAGAGGCAAGGCTGTGATTTAGTAGCAGAGCAAGTGCTTTTCATGCAAAAGGTCGCAGGTTCAATCCTTAGCATCTCCGGGTAGAGAAAGAGTCCTGTCTGAAACCTTGGAAGGTCACTGGCAGTCAGTGTAGACAAAATTCTAAGCTAGATGGGCCAGTGTTCTGGCTCAGTATAAGGCAACTTCCTAAGTTTCTATGTTGTTCATTTTCAATTTAATTTATTTACTGAGCGGTTTTTTAAATTCTCAGATTTCATACTGTAGGCAGCAGTCAAGTATCATGAAAGCATTCATGCCCAGCTCTGGGCTGTGTGGGGGGGCATTTGTTCAATAAAAACTTCTAATTTATACAGGGGTTCCACACCTAGGCAGAGAGAATACAGCTATAAATAAATGTAAAGAAGTGCAGAACTGATACAAATTCTGATTCCTAACTTTAGTTGTTGTTTGACTGATTAAAAGAAGAAGATAATATTAGTGGTCTGTAATTAGATCTCCCCCACCCTATAGCTTTTCTTGAAGAATATCCTGATTCACAATGTGAACCCCTTGAATGGTGGTTGGACTTTCTTGGTACTTCTCTGATTTTTTTATTTTTATTAGTGTTGATGTTATTGTTATTATGGCATCTCTGTGCTATTTTGGTTGACCGTCCCCTCCTGGTGAAATCCTGTGGAACTGGATGAAACTCTTGTAATATGTTTTCAGATCCACCTACTTTTCTGCTGCAGTAGAGATACTGAATGTTTTTTGAATTGTCCCAATGACTTTAGCCAATTTGTGGTCCAGGGTGTGTGTGTGTGTGTGTGTGTGTGCGCGCGCGCATTTTTACATATTTACTGTCACATGGTGAGAAAACACACAACAAAATAAATATGGTTAAGTATTCTCCACTTACCTAAGAGGTGAGAAATACAGGGCAACACTTCATGGTTTCACTTCCTTTGAAGGGGGGAGAGAGCATAGTGGATATTTACGGCGTATTTGGTTTATTTGGAATTATACCAGCAGAGCCTAATGAAAGCAAGCAGACTTGTGAAAAGAGACAGCTAAACTGCTGATTCTGCACCAGATTTTCCGAAGCAACAGTGTATTCCCCATAATTTCCAGGCTAGCAAAAATTTTCCTCAGCTGTCTCTACATCTGTCTGTCTCATTTTCAAAGCTGCCACAGACTTTAGGTGCCTGTTCCCAAATTCTGATGGGTATCACATTCCTAAGGCAGGAAAGAAACTGCAGGTCATTAAAGTACCTCTTTTTACATCCCTGATCACGGTTGTGGCGTTTTCTGGGCACAACCATGACAAGCCCATTTATGCTAATCCAAAAAAGAAAAAGCTACAATCACCACACCATTAAAATAATGGCACTGCCTTTTATGCTTGAGAATGCTGACCACTGAAGGAAACGATGGGTCATGTTCATTTATTTTTTTTATTAACCTTTTCAAATAATTGCTCCAGTTCTATAAGACTTAATAAGACGCCGAGGCTAATAACAGAAATAAACTAGCAAGTGAGATTAGTAAAGGAATGGAAAATGTGGCAGAGAGATTTGTGTTAACCCTCATGTTAACATAATGTTAAACATAATTACATTATTTTGATTCAGGAGTGCCACATCTAAAACTCAAAAGAGGAAACCATGTAAATGTCAGGAATCTCATTAACTTTTTTTTACTGTTTTTTGTAAATGCCTATTAATAATTCGGATTTCAAGCTGCAGCCATGCTGATTTCACTGGACACTTAGCAGATCCGCTCTTTAGATCATTAAGGATGAATACTTATCCTATGGCATTGAGCTTGAGCACCGGATGCTATGCATTTCTTTAATCTGCAACTGTAAATTCTTTTCCTTAATCATCTGAAATGATGCCACCAGGTTAGTCTTCATGATATAGTACAAAAGATTCATTTAAAGATAGGCAGCCCTTGTCAGTCTGAATTTATTGGCTCTGAATCAGGTCTTCCAAGACCTAGAGTCTAGCCTTTCCTATGCAGGGGTTTCCAAGGGTCTTGATCACATTGGTGCAGTCATTCACAAGCCAAAAACCTCCTATGTCTGCAGCACTCCTCTCAAAGTAGGCTCTTCCCCATCTCTCTCTCTCTGTGCAGGAGAGGGGAGAAGGGCCCAGTCTCCACCAGAAGAGCTGCAACAGGCATCTAGATTTGCACGGCATTGTGATGACTGCAGCTTCCATAACAATGTAACACACAAGTGTGAAGGTCCAAGGCCTCAGGAGCTGCTTGGGGCTCTCCCAGTGCAGTTTAGGCTCATTGATAGGACTGACGCAATCCACTCCAGACAGTTTGTAGCAGCCTTGGAAGATTCTGTCCTAAGGTATGTACCACTTATTTAATTGGCATACAACACACCTGTGGCTTGATGTGCCTGGGGATCCATCTTAAGCTTTCTGGAATCAAATTAATCCTCTGGAATCCTGAAAGGGATCCGCCCAGGCAGACCCTCAAATCCATCCCCAGAATCCAGTTATTTTTAGAATCTAGATTCGTTGGAAGACACAAAGTGTTGAACAAGCATACGAGAAGGTTCCACATGGAGAGATCTTCTTGCTTGACTTCGCTGGCTTCATTCTTAATTCATCTAGGTTTGGCTCTGGCATCATCCAAGTTTCATTTGCTTTTCTTCTTGTAAATGTCAAGTATTACTACAGAGTCACCTGTGAAATGGCATAAGCAAAAGAAGAAAAATGGCTTACTGGTGAGATGCACGATAACAATCCAAACACAACTTGATTTTGTTCCATACTGGGGAAAAAGAAGCGAACTCACTTCGGGGCCAGCAGCTGACAGTCCTGGAGCAAAATCTGGCCCCAGAGTGGAGCCAACAACCACTCTCTGCACTGCCAAACTAGAAGTAAGAGTGAGCTGCAGGAGAAAGTGTTGCTAGTGAGGCACAAGAGACTGGAAGAGGCAGCGCCCTTTGCTCCCTTTTCAGAGTAGCTCTGCAGCAAGATTATCTGCTAACCAAGGTGTGTGTGTGGGGGTCTCACTTCCCTCATGAACAGGCAATCTGATCCACAACTGAGAGACAGACCATCTACCTCAGCACCCCCATGTTGGTTGGGGGGGTCCCATTAACTCCCTGGCACATGGCCCATCATAATCTAGTTTTAGGGTGATTTTGCACATTTACTGACCATGCGAAAAACTGAAGTTTGTTCCATGCATCTAATCTCTATCATGCATACAGGAACACGTGACCAGGGATAGCCTCCCTCTGAAAATGGTAATTACCAGAACTTGCCCTTTCACATATGCACCTGCTTGCATGGTGACTATAGGCTTTCTGCTTATTACTAACCTTGCTTGCTAGTTCACTTCTGCTTTTAGCCTCAGTGCAATGTCTTCTTATCATTTATAGCACTGGACCCACCCACCACCCATGGGGGGGAAATTACAACTAGGGCCTGGCAAGTGAATGTGCAACTTCTACTAGCCCTGATTTAACTGTGAGGAATAAGAATCAAGTGACCAGGCAGGGAACCGAGAGAAACCAAGGGGATTTATTTTCTTTTTTTCCTCCCTTCCCTTTTTAACCTTTCGATGTGCCACCAATGTGTAAGAGAAGAACGTGTGCAAACTAATTTTTAAAAATGGTAACTTTCGAGGATTTGTTTACAAGACTGGACTCACCCCAAATCATGCGGACGAGGAATTCTCCTGTGTTGTAGCAAAAGAGAGCGACGACAGTGCTCCCCACAAAAAAGGCAGCTATGCCGGGTGCACTTAGCTCTTCAAAGAGAGGGTACACCCACTTCCCAGTCACCGAGTAAATCCACAGAAACCTAGAAAAGAATGCATTTTAGTTTGGACATCTTAAGTGAGAACATAGCATCCCAGCTGGGCTTGCCGTTTCCTTGGGAAGAATGTGGCATCTAAGGGCCAAAGTACAAGCTAGGACAAACATTTAAAAGGCTTGCTCGAACTGTACATTGAAGAAGAAGAAGAAGAAATGCAGTCATGGGGTTCTAGCTCAGAAGGTGTTCTAGTTTCTTTCCCAAAATTGCCGCCATTACCCTGCCCCAGCTGCTTTTAGCCCTTGAAGACACTTTAAGGGGCCAATAGCTTGGGTGAGATTATTGGTTTTTGGCTTTTTTTAAACACACCTGCATTTATTCACAGGTACACAAACGCCTAAAAGATCTTTTTTTCTGCCTGGGGTAGCCAGATGTTTTGTTATGCAGATCTCTATGTGGGATCACCATTTAGTGAAAGAAAACAGCAAAAACATAAATGCAAGTCATCTGACATGGTAAATTTTAGATAAAGGGGTGGGGGGTGGGGTAAAGAGGTAGTTTTGAGGAGGTAGTTCATCCCCTAAATACTCTTGTCTGGGATCCAACACCAGACTTGAATGGCAGAGGGCTTGGGCACCAGCAGAGGCTAAGAATATTCAAGGCCTTCCATCCAGGTTCAGAGGATAACATTCAACCCCCACCATGATCACATTGCCACATTGCATTAGGATGAGCTTCACCTATGGGCCAGAAGTTCCATTCCTTCTGGAATACGGACACCTTCTTAAAAGCGAGTTTTCTGGGGGAATCTCAAAGAGGCCTTGCTCCATGCTCACAACAGCCAAACTAATAGACAGCACAAATCACAGCAAGCAAACTCGTGCATGGGAAAGGAATTTCAATAAGCGGCATGAATAATCTCATTAAGTTTAGGATCTGATTAGGCTAAAAAGGCCCCTCATGAGGCCTAATGTATGGTTGTATAATGCACTTGTTCAACAGTTCCAAAGCTTCTCTAAAGTCTGATCAGGAGTCTATTGTAGCTGCATAGTCGGGATTTCTTTCAGCAGGGTTAAGCAAGGACCGTCTTTTCAACAGAGGACTTTGTGGCTGCATGTAATAACTAGGTGAGAGAAGGCATTCCCTCTTGGCTTCCTGCCTGTTAAAGAGGGATGCCAAAGCATCATGTGAAAGAGACTTTCTTCATTAAAAAAACAAAGATCTTACCAACAGACATAGGCAGCACCCCCAATTGCTAATACGCTGATCCCTTTTCCCTTTGATGGAGAACGATGCGGGGTAGTCAAGAGGTCCATCAGGGACAATGGTAATATAATTGTGTGCTGGGAAGAAAATACAGTGCGTCACACAAAATTGTACTCGTGTTGAATTTATGAAACTCACCATTGCTTACAATAAGGTGTACAGAGCTTTGGCCTGGCCTTTCTACCGCAAGTCTTTCAGCCAACGTCGTGAATGGCTGTTGGCTGAATGTTCTATGTGGTAACGTTCTGGGGCAAAGACAATGGGCTTTTTTGTTCTTTCAACCAGAGGATTAAAACAAAAACTCTGCTATTGATTCTCGATGCCTTATTCTAAGGGATATCCCTTCCTTTAGAGCAGTGTGTCCCAAACTGGGGTCTCCAGCGGCTTTTGTACTACAATCCACACCATCCCTGACCACTGGTCCTGCTAGCTAGGGATGATGGGAGTTGGTCCAAAAACAGCTGGAGACCCAAGTCTGAGAAACCCTGCTTTAGAGGGTTGCTTTGTCCTCTATACTACCGTGCCTGTCTTTTTCAGGAAGAAAGGAGATGGGGTTCATGAAGCTGGCAGATGCCTGGATTTTAGCACCTCTGCTCTTTCCCAGAGGAATTCCTGATATCAGAGGCTGTGTCCCATAGCATCAAGGAAAGGAGAAACCCTTTCCCCTGGTCTAACAGACTTTTGCACCAACCTTGCTTTTGACAGTCAGGATACCCTATGCTGAGTGCCTTCATTCCTTGGCAATGCTGCCAACTTGGTAACAGTATGTGGAAGGGACGGGGATTAGCTAACACACCCATACCCCAGCCTCAGAGCTATTAGGGTAAGGCAACAGTAGAGAGTTTTAATGTGTGCACTGCTGCTATAGCCGTATCTTGCTCTCACCTTTTCAGCATGTACAAGGAAGGGCCGTTGCTCAGTGGTAGAACATGTGATTTGCATGCACAAGGTCCCAAGTTCAAACCCCAGCTTCTCCAGGTAGGGCTGAAACACCTCTGAAACCCTGAAGATCCATCAGTTAGTGTAGACCAGGGGTAACCAATGTGGTGCCTGGCACGTGTTGCTGAACTACAACTCCCATCAACCCTGACCATTGATCATACTGGCTGAAGCTGATGGGAGCTGAAGTCCAATATTTGGAAAGCATCACACTGGCTACCTATGGAACAATGCTGAGCTAGAGGCAACTTCATATGTAACTTCCCCTAGAAAACAGGAAGGCACGCCTCACTTAAGGTCACCATGATCCAATAGTAGAGGCTAGGGAACTAGCTTATACAGTGGTACCTTGGTTCTCAAAAGCCTTGGTTCCCAAATGCCAAAAACCCGGAAGTGTGTGTTCCGGTGTTTGAACGTTTTTCAGAAGCCAAACGTCCAATGCAGCTGTCAGCTATTGTTTCTGGGCGTCTACACCAATCAGAACCTGCACCTTGGTTTTCAAACATTTCGGAAGTCAGACGGACTTCCGGAACGGATTAAGTTTGGCACTTTTGTTTTTGCTATTTATTTTGCATTTATGATTTTGAGGCTTTTTCGGTTAATTTGTTTTTGTGACTGTGTGGAACCCAGTTCAGCTACTGATTGATTGTGTGACTGCGGAAATGGATAAAAGCCCCCCCATCCAAACAATGACTATTGTCGGTGTAGTAAGAAAAAATAATAATTTTAATTTCTATCATCTACAGTACTGTCTTATTTATTTTATGGTACAGTAAAATGATTATTGCTTTCATTTTATGGATCAATGCTCTCGTTGGATAGCAAAATTCATGTTAAATTCCTGTTTTAAGGGTTGTTTTTAAAAGTCTGGAACAGATTAATCCATTTTGCATTACTTTCTATGGGAAAGCACACTTTAGTTTTGGAATGCTTTGGTTTTGGAACGGACTTCCGGAACGGATTAAGTTTGAGAACCAAGGTACCGCTGTACAGATATAGATAGATGGTGCATTTTAATAATAATAATATCCTGTCATTCCACAGTGCATGCTCTATATTTTTAGGTTCACTTGGCTCTGGCGATTGTACTATTTCTAGAACCTTCGTATGTTTTGCCTGTTATTGCAAAACACAGAAGTACTGCATGATTGACTAGTTATTGCAAAGCTTTCCATTTGCCACTGGCTTTCAATTAGCTCTCTAAATGAATTCTTTTTACTAGACAATGGAAAGCTGACTGCTGCAATGGCATTAGTAATGGACCATATACTGCAACTTAAAACTAGTTGAAAGCCCTTTAAATGCATTTTGTTTTTTTCTCAGGCAAAGTGGTCCCTACTCATAGCAATTTTTAATATGACTCTAGTCACACCACACACCATGAGTCATTAAAGGCAATTAAACTTCATTGCCACTATAATGTATTGTTTAATCTAGCATTCATTCAAATAAATGCAAGCTTTGTTCTTTAAGCAAATAATTTAAAAAACCTGTTTAAAAAGCAAGTCTTAATAATTAGGCCTGGATTGACACCAATCTCCAAGGGTTGGCAAAAATGGCTGGAAACAGTGACTCATTCTGGTATTTTCCATTAACAGTTTTCTTTTCAGCTTCACTTGTAACAAGTGAAACTGAAAAAGGAAAACAATTATCACAGAGAGGGGAGAAAAGGCATTATTTCTCAGTCCTCCCCTCCCTCGCTCTAAAAAAACCAAACCAAACCCCAAACCCACTAATTTGAACAAAAGCTGTATGTAATGATTTTGCTCTTAATGAATGGGTTGCTTAAAATACTGTATTACGTTCCGACTGCTTATGAAAGTTTTTTTTTTACTTTGAGTTCTGTATTACTTTGTTTTGATTTATTTACTGATACAAGTTAATTAAATGCTTTGCTTTCTGAGGGGAAAGCATATTAATTTGCCACCCTTACTGAGATGGCATAATATGATGCTAGCAGTTTCAGTTTACAGTGGTACCTCAGGATAAAAACTTAATTCGTTCCAGAGGTCCATTCTTTCTTTTTCTTTTTTTTTAGAAGGTCCATTCTTAACCTGAAACTGTTCTTAACCTGAGACACCACTTTAGCTAATGGGGCCTCCTGCCGCCGCCGTGCGATTTCTGTTTTGTTTTGAAACAAAGTTCTTAACCTGAGGTACTATTTCTGGGTTAGCAAAGTCTGTAACCTGAAGCGTCTGTAACCCAAGGTACCACTGTATATATAAATATTGAATGGAAAATGTTTTCTTGGGGGAATCTACGTTTGTCTGAGGCAGTGGTTCCAAATGTCCAACCCTTAGAGAATGCTTTCCAGACAGAATTGCCTGTACTAGTGGTGTATCTGCAGGTCTGCTATAGAACCCCTGAATGCTGCAAAGGATTCTGGGAAGTGGCACACAGTCAGTTAATATGGAGTGTTGGCCAGGTTTGATGAGCCATACCATCATCGCTCACAGTCAGGGCATTCTACAATGCATGCAACATTCCCTAGGGGGCACTATGGGGCTGAGGCCTCTACAGCCCGCTCGCCCCATGTCTGTTGGGATGGGGCTCTGGCATGCAAATGTCGCATCAGGAGGAGGCCTGGTCCCATCCCTGGATATGCATGGTGGGTGGTGTTGGTAGGTATGAAACTTCCTTTTCTTACAGATGAAGTAGGTAAGCAATTAGCAAGTGAAGAACACCATCACAGTAGGTTGAAGGTTTTCCCTACCCCAACCCTCCCCATACAAATATTACTGATTATCCACAGATGTGAACAAGTTCTGTTGAATCAAGTTCCAGCGTACAAGGGGATATGTTTTGCCTTCCTACTCCCTGTACTGGCACATGGCGGTTATCTAGTAAGGCAAGTTTGGGGCAATGTGATGGTGCTCAGCTCTTCTCAACTCTTCTGCTTCCTTCAAAACTTCACAGATTTGTTCATAAGGGAACTTGAATTGCTTAGAAATTTCTGGTTTTCTTAGGAAACACGGAAAGAACAAATGTTAGCTGGAGGGATCCATCATTTAGCTCCATGCCTAGGTTGAATAATTCATGCAGAATGATTTGCCCATTGAGCGAGTGTCACATCACTTCTGAAAAATGGGCTCATTCTAACTTCTCGGAAACATAAAAGATTTAAGCTATGACTTTTTTGTTTTGTTTTGTTTGTTTAAACAGGTTCATAAGGCTTGTGGCTGCTATCCTGCACCGATTTTCCACATGTGCCAATGGAAGTGGCTCAGTCCCACCATGCCATACTCTGCTGGTGTGAGGATAATGTTAGAGGAAACTAACATTATAGGGTGTCAAGAGGTCAGATCATAAAAATGGGTCTTTATGTAGTAGCCTATAATGGCACTGAGTAGGGAATCCAGGCTGAGTCTTGGATATGATTGCTGTTTCATTTGTTTTGGTTCTTATGACTCATTGCCCTTCTTCCACATGACTAGCATTCCAGAGGAGCGAGTGATGCAAACAAACTCATTTGTGCAGACGATAAAGGCAGAATTTGGGTTGTCACTGCAAGGAATATTGATCTTTTCGTAGCACTGTCCTGAGTAAGAGCCAGTAGCCTCATTCACTACGGAAGGTTGATAGAATCAAGCTTGAGCGTCTTGAGTATGATGGTTATTTCATTCATTTAGGTTATTTCATTCATTTCATTCATGATGGTTATTTCATTTAGGATTCATACTGAACTTTTTCACCCACCTATTCCCAAGAGGACATGTCGTGAATTCTGCACACACCCACAGCTTCTATTTTACTGGTAGCATCTTTGCCCAGAGCAGTAAAGATTCCGCCCCCCCCCCCCACATTTCCTTTCATTTCTGTTTTTGGCTAAAAATGAAATTTAAAATGTAAGCTGCAGGAGTCAACCAGCCATCATTTTTGCACTGCTGCTTGTTGTTTCTACTCACCTTTGCTGCTCGACTGGAGAGCTCCTGCTACATACCTTTTTGGATTCTTTTACTCCGTTCTAAAAACCACCAAACATTCATTTGTATTCCCAGACATTCTGCATTGTATAACACTCTGTTTACAGCAACAGCACTCTCATTCTTTTATATGCACTGCAGTAACCTAGAAAGTGTCTCTCTCTCCCCACCCCATCCTGCCACCCCGTTTAATGACTTCACATCTTTCAATTGACTTACACTTGGCAAGCAACGATTCACTGATATTTCCCCCTATGCTTTAAGGCTTTCTTTAGCAATTCACAAGCCCACTCATTGCCCGTCTAGGCTTAAAGAGATAGCAAGGAAGCTACAAATAAAAATTTGCAGAATCTGGGCATGTTCCTGCCAAAGTTAAGCACATCTTATTAAATTTGATGAGAGATTAAGTATATATTGACTCTTCCACCGAGATCAGTAGGAATTAAAAGTGCATAATTGGCTGGATCATGTCTGCTTTCCCTTGCATCCATCATGCGATGTTTGAATATTTATTGCAAATTGCCTTTGTTCCATTTTGCTGTTGTTGCTTTACATTTTACTCACCATAGCATGATTCAGCCATAAAGGAAGGAAGGCATCAAGGCTCTTGGGATAAACAAACTCCCGATCATAAAGGTATACTGCCCAAAACAACGTAAACACTGTCTGAAACAGAGTATTAAAAGAAAAAGGTGATGAGTTTATCTAACACAAGCATCTAACAAAGTACTTTCCACTTCTCTCAGATAGAGTACTGTGGCAAGCTTCTTCCTGTCACAGCACTCCAGAATAATGAGTTGTGAAATGAGGGGCTGGGATTCACTTATGCAAGGTTTCAAACAGTATCACAACAGTATGTATTTTATTATTTTAGAAATCATTTAGTGCTGTAACCAACTCTAGGCCACAGAACCTACGTAAGCCTTTAGTCCTGGAAAATGTGGTGTACAGGCAACAACCATTTTGTGAGGGGGTTCTGTTCCTGGCCCCCGCACACATTGGCAGAGCGTGCATAAGCCCTCTCCACCCTGTTACTCCCCTACCACGTTCCTCCCTCTTCTGGGCCCAAAAGGATGCATGTGTTGGCGGCCGTATGACAATTGGATGCACCTTAAATGGTTGCCCCCTGTAGCAAAAAGAAAGGCAACATGAATCTTCACATGACTTTCTCCACATGTTCAGTGAATCTGTGAGGGTGGAGTGGGGATTCTGCCTGCTGGCCATATCAAGTGCCCCTGAGCAGTCCAGAGGGTTACTCTTCCTACACTGGGTAATCAAAGCCAGTCAACACATATACAGCACTAGACTGACAGGCTTCCTGAAAACTTCAATGTTCCCTGAAATTCAGAGAAAATACAAGAACTGTGCTCAGATTATGTTTAATACAACTAATAATTATTATGCATTTATAAAATCATGTTGATTGCCTTCTGTTTGGGTACAAAGAGTGTTGTATGATTAAAAGCACACTAGCCATTAAAAAAGGGACGCGGGTGGCGCTGTGGGTAAAAACCTCAGCGCCTAGGGCTTGCCAATCGAAAGGTCGGCGGTTCGAATCCCCACGGCGGGGTGCGCTCCCGTTGCTTGGTCCCAGTGCCTGCCAACCTAGCAGTTCAAAAGCACCTCCGGGTGCAAGTAGATAAATAGGGACCGCTTACTGGCGGGAAGGTAAACGGCGTTTCCGTGTGCTGCACTGGCTCGCCAGATGCAGCTTTGTCACGCTGGCCACGTGACCCGGAAGTGTCTCCGGACAGCGCTGGCCCCCGGCCTCTTGAGTGAGATGGGCGCACAACCCTAGAGTCTGTCAAGACTGGCCCGTACGGGCAGGGGTACCTTTACCTTTACCCTTTAGCCATTAAAAAACCACCTATGCAAGCAGTTGTCTAAGTACTTTTCCTAGGGATGCTCTCTCCTTCGCAATGTTCGATTTGGGAAGAATTTTGTTACTTTTCTCTCACCTCCACTACATGCATTTAAAGTAGGAGAGCTGTAGTATACTCTTCCCAGAGCTACAATTTCCCAGGATTCCTTGGGGAAAGCCATGTTCTTCAACTGTTATCTTTGGCAAAGACTGGCATGAGCAGGGAAAGCCGTGAAGACCACCAGGAGCTGCTTTCTGGGCTAAAAATCCACAAAGCCCAGTGAAATCTATTCAGACCTCATATACAGTGGCACTTTTTCAGCTGGTCTGTCTGGGATCTGTTTTATACTGAAGACGCCAAGGATGCAAAGCATGGACACCACTGCCAAGCAACAGGCCCTTCTACTGAGAAAGCCAGTAATGTCTTTATAGTATGAACAATAACCAGATGGGGAGAAAGAGAACTGTGATTTCAACCCTTCTATCAGAATTGGCCTGAGCTTTTTTCCTGCATGAGGTGAAGGACAAGATTTCCCCCATCTCTGTTCTATGCACAGAAGCCAATTAAACTTATTTCAACACTGGTGACGGAATAGTGTCCTTTACTAGGCAGCAGGTTAGTTTGGAAGGGCCAAGACAGGCTGTATAGCATACCCAAGCCTGTCTTTCCACAGAGGAGAATGACAGAAGGGGGGGGGGGTAGGAGGGACAGCCAGGGGGCTGTTGCTGCTGCCTCCATCCCACTGTAACTGCTGCCTGAGGCAGTCACCTCACTTTGCCTAACAGTAGGACAGTCTCTGTCTTTGATGATGATCAGACCTATCTTCTGCTTCTCCAAGCGGCTTAACAACAAACATCGCTTTCATTCATTAAGAACAGGCTTTAAGCCGAAGAAGTGAATATTAGCTATTGAGAAATCTTGAAATATTAGTGAATATTAGCTATTGAGAAATCTTGAAATATTAGTGAATATTAGCTATTGAGAAATCTTGTGTTGAAATGGGTGCATTTCAACACAAGAAAAATAATTACAGCATCAGTTGTGTTTTCTTGGCCTTGTCTTCTCTACTGAGTGTGAGTCCACATTAGAGCAAACCAGGGACACGGGAGCTGAGAAAGGATGTTCTCCTACTAAAAATAGTAAGCATTGTTTATAAACAGAAGCAAGTCCCTCTCTACTCTTAGTGATCCCTCACACCCGGTGATCCCTCTATGGGAATAGAAAAAAATGGCTTTGGAAACAGTACACTCTGCTCATTTGAGCTTCACCAAAAGAAATTGTCTCAATTTTACCTGACTTTCCTTGCTTGCATTTTTGCAGGTTTAAAGTGGAGTATTAGTGTCTGATGCTTACTCCACTACATAGCTACACATGAATTATTTTTTCATACTAAACATGGGACTCTTCAAGTGAAATGTGTTTAGCTGAGGCTGAGGTTCAGTTCAGGCATATTTTGGCAACATGCAGCAGAAAAGAGAAGTGTGAGTATAAACACACCCACACATATCCCTTCTGTTGCATGTTGTAAGATGCTAAATGGCCCTTAAGGTGCTTATCTGGATTTTGGAAGTCAGCAGATAAAAAAAGTTAAAAAGGTAAAGGATCCCTGGATGGTTAAGTCCAGTCAAAGGTGACTATGGTGTTGCGGTGCTCATCTCGCTTCAGGCCGCATTTGTCGACAAACAGCTTTCCAGGTCATGTGGCCAGCACGGCTAAACTGCTTCTGGTGCAACCGAATACCGTGATGGAAGCCAGAGTGCACAGAAATGATTTACCTTCCTGCCACGGCGGTACCTATTTATCTAATTGCACTGGTATGCTTTCAAACTGCTAAGTTGGCAGAAGCTGGGATAGAGCAACAGGAGCTCACCCTGTCGCAAGGATTTGAACCGCTGACCTTCCGATCAGCAAACCCAAGAGGTTCAGTGGTTTAGATCACAGCACCACCCACTCCCTGATAAGGCAGCAGGTAATATTCATTGGGAACATAGGAAATTAGATATAGAGATACAGAGTGCATCTAGGTTGATATTGTCTGCAGTGATCTGCAACAGCTCTCCAGAATTTCAGGTGGGGCCTTTGCCTGCTCTACCTGGAGATGTCAGGGATCAAACCCTCTTTCTTTGTTTCAGTTGCCTTGCTTGGTTTTTGAAAACATGAAGCAATTGTATTCTATAACACACTAAGTGTCTTTCAAGCACTTTTATATGCTGTTTATATATACTGCTACTATTACAGTATCAATAAAATAATAGTAATAATGAACTATCCTTAATGAATTCTCATTAGTAATAATGTATTATCATTCATGAGTTATCTTTACTTAAAGCATCGTTGGCTCAGAACTATCATTCCAAAGTAACTAGTGCTTGTCTTCTAATAGTGGCATAATAATGATGATTATGTGTATTTGAAACTCACCATGGAGGTAGGAAAGGCCAGGCTGCCAAAGATCAAGTCTCTGAAGGGGAACATGGACTTAGCAAGTCGCAGTTGCTTCATTAGTACCAGCGCGTCAATCAGCAAGGAGATCCCGAAGTAAACAGCCTGTAGAACCTAAATTAATTACAGCTAATGAGAAGATCTTCATCCATTTTTAATTGTACACACCTCAATGAACTCTTAAGAAGGCAGTTTTCAGGGTGAACCATGAATCAGCACTGTGGAAAACGCCACTAGCTATATCTATCTTATTTACTGAGAGTGTTTTAATAAATTAGTTTGGGTGGTAAACTTTAACATTGTATTGTTTAATAGACTTATATAACGTTTTATGAGAACTAAGTAGCTTTGTTAGCATGAATGTGCAAAGATCCACTAATTTAAAAAAAAAGTCACCTCTAGGGAGTATTATAGCTTATCTGCAAGGTAGCAGTACAGCTATAGACAGACTGTAAAGTTGTGTACACACTGTCATTTACTCTGCATCCAGTGTGATCCCACTTCTGGTTTGGAAAGTGGTGTATACACACAATGTTAGTCACAATCCAGCTCCATCCTGTCATTTCTTAGAAAATACTGCATTTTGATGTGCTGTTCGCCAAACCAGCTTCAATAGGAATTGAGGGGGGAAATGGCCAACTGTGTTGAAAGCTGGTGATGTGTACACCGCCTTAGCAGAGGTCACAAAGGAAATAAAATATTCTAAGTTACACTGAGATACAGCAATATAAATAAATGAAGGAACAACATTATACGTGAAATTTCAGAGAGGACAAGTTTAGTCTTTACGCCAATCGTGTTCCGGAGCAGAAAGCAAGGCGTTCCAATGGGTAGGCCTCCACTGACAGTCACATCCACACCATATACTTAAAGTACATGCCTTCCTTTAAAAAGCTGGGAACTGTAGTTTACCCCTCACAGAGCTAAAACTCCTAACACCCTTAAACTACACGGACTGCATGAAGGGGTGCAATATGTTTTTGTCCTCTTAGCTTAAGTCACAAATCTGGCTTAATGGTTTGTGCATGTATGAAAAAGTAAAAAAAGCTGTCAATTGCAAAGTGTTCAACTGCAGAAAAATAGTAGCGTAGGGTATACATTAGCAGAGACTTCCTAACTTTATGATCAGTCCAACTGCAGAAAAAGGACCAAGGCACAAAGAGCTGCCTTAGGTATGCCTGTGTCTTGGAGTCTGCATCTCCCCCGCCTTTGAACAGCAGATTTTGGACTCCCTACCATATCACACATTGCGTTTCAGTGTTGTCGTTTTTTAATCCGCAACAATGAGTCTTGTGATACTTGAAAGACTAAGAGCTTTATTCTGGCATTTGCTTTCACAGAAAGCAATCTGCTTTTTCAGTGTTGATCTGTTAAGGTGCCACAAGACAGTGTTGTTCCTGCTCCAACAGACTAACACAGTGGCCCCTCTGAAACTTTACTTGGGGGGGGGAGGAAAATCTATAGCCCTCCAGATGATGACACCATCCCTGACCGCTGCCCAGGAAAAGCAGAGGCACCTGCACAGCAAGGGATGAACATAAGCAAAAGCAGTTAACACAGATTTTAGGAGCAATTTATTTATTTTTATTTTTTTAAAGAAATTTTATTAAATTTTCAAAAGTTATAAAAATAATAAGGACAAACATAGAAAAAACAAACAAAGAAAAAACATACAAAAAAAAGAACAAGTATAAGTTCATTTCCCTTTTTTATAGGTGGTACCTAACCCCAGTCAAACTTGCAAAAATTTATCACTTGCCCGATAACAAATGTTGGAAATGTAAGGAGACCGAAGGTACATTCTTTCACCTTTGGTGGACGTGCCCAAGGATTAAGGCTTTCTGGGATATGATATATAATGAATTGAAAAAGGTATTTAAGTATACCTTTCTGAAGAAACCAGAGGCCTTTCTCCTGGGCATGGTCGGCCAATTGGTGCCAAAGAAGGACAGAACATTTTTTATGTATGCAACAACAGCAGCTAGAATACTTATTGCAAAGTATTGGAAGACACAAGATTTACCCACTCTGGAAGAATGGCAGATGAAAGTAATAGATTATATGGCGCTGGCAGAAATGACTGACAGAATTCGAGACCAGGGAAGAGAGACGGCGAGAGAAGATTGGAAGAAATTTAAAGAATACCTTAAGAAATACTGTAAAATTACGGAATGTTGAAATGATGTTGACTTTGAAATTAAGTGGTTGTTAGCTGTAATGATTAAGAAAAAGGGAAGAAATGTGAAGATTTAAACAAAGCTAAAGGAGAGGATTTGCTGAAAATATCAATAGAAACTGGAATACAGTAAGGGAAGGTATGAGGAGGTCGGGGAAGTAAGGTTAAGGATTTTAGGAGCAATTTAGACCTGATGGCCAAAGACCCATGGAGAGAGAGAGAGACCCAGCCAGGTGCGCTTCTGAATCCCTAGGAAATTATGGAGGTGTGTATAATTTAAACTGCAGCATGGGGTGGAGGATTCAACACATCTCCTGCACAACTACTACTATTACAAACTACCACAGCTTAGTAAAAGCTATCCCCCCGCCGTGGTCTCTTGACACTGGAATTAACTCATGCAAGGTACTGGGGTGGCTTTAAAAAAGTCTTTTTGGTGGGAAACCACAGGCAGGAAAAGCGTTCTGCTTCCCTGCCCACATAGAATCGTAGAGTTGGAAGAGACCCTGAGGATCATCTAGTCCACCCCCCTGCTGTGCAGGTAGCACCCCCTGGCCAGCCCCAGAGACACCATTTGCCTGGGGAGCTTGTAGCCAGGGCTGTTGCAACGAACTGCTATGCAAGCCTTTGGGAGGCAGAGACACAAGAGGGCATCAGAGGAGGGAGGAACAGAGGCCAGTGTTGCTCGCAACAACCCCCGACCACCATTTCCATGCACCCCAGGGTGCCACGGCACACTGGTTGGAAACCACCGCCCTACGGGGATCAAACTTGCAACCTTGGCACTACCAGCAGCATGCTGTAACCAACATGGCTGTTGCATGCAAAATGGAGCAAGCTTGTTGTTTTCTCCTGCTCCAGAGGCCAGGACCCAAACCAATGGATTCAAGTTACAGGAAAGGAGATTCCAACTAAACAGCAGGAAGAACTTTCTGACAGTAAAAGCTGTTCCACAGTGGAACAGATTACCTCTCCTTCCTTGGAGGTTTTTAAGCAGAGGTTGGATGCCCCTCCATCACAAGATGCTTCAGTTGTGATTCCTACATTACAAGGGGTTGGACTAGATGACTCTGGGGATCTCTTCCAACTCTACCATTCTATTATTTCCTGCTAGGGTTGCCATTTTTGCTCTGGCAAAATACAGGGCAGGGCAGGGGGGTAGGCAACTCCCCCCCCCCCAATCTGGTGCTGAAGTGACTTCTGAGCAACCCATGGCAATCTATTGCAACCTAACAGGACAGCCCCTCTGGAATTTGTCACCCAGGCATGTACACACACACACACACGCACGAAATTGCAAATCTGCCTCTGCTTTGCTACACAGAGTTTAAATACAGTGACGTTTCACACAGAGTTTCAAATCCATTTGAAAGAGGACCCCACAGCTTGGCAGAGAGAGAGAGAGAGAGAGAGAGAGAGAGAGAGAGAGAAAGAAAGAAAGAAAGAAAGAAAGAAAGAAAGAAGACCAAACCTGAAATACAGGTCAAAACTGTAACAAATACAGGACATAATATTTCACTTGGAAATGCGGGACGATCCTGTATTATACAGGTGGCAACACCAACCCACGCTGTACGTATTTCAAACCCACCCCTCTCCCCCCGCCCCCTAGTTTCAACGGGTGGCTAAGGGGCTTCAGGCTAGTGAAATGTATAACTCTAGCCTAGGTCGGGGGTTCGTGGCCGTGGGGGGGGACGACCCCCGTGACCCTCCTCCTGGGGATTCCCACCCCCTTAGCAGGCGCAAGCTGCCCTTGGTCCGCCGCCGGTCTCCTGAAGCGCCGATGGCGGGAAGCGAAGGCACCCGCCCCCTCTTTCCCCTCAGACTGAGGCGAGAGGGGAAGGCCTGGCTCGGCCTCCGCGCGCGCCGCTTACCAGGTTGAGGACGGTCAGGAACTTCCACGGCCCGCCGTAGGAGACGATGTTGTCCGGCTTCTTCTCGCCAGGTCTCGTCCCTATCTTGCTGATGAAGGCGACGAGGAACACGTACCAGGCGAAAGCGAGGCCGTGGAAGAGGAAGAGCGAAGAGACCTTCATGGCGCGCGCGGTGGGGGAACCGGCAGCGGCTCCTCCTTCGCCGCCGCGGGAAGCCGAACGAGGAAGCTAGTCAGCGGGCATCACATTGGCAGCAGCGGCCGAAGTTTTGGCTTCCCTTCCCGTTTTCCTTTGCCGCTGCCGTTCGTTCACGTGAGGCCAGGCTTCGACCTTTGGATTTATATGCTCTCCCTCGAGATTACTCGGGGAGATTAAGGGCCCGAGTTGCATAAGTTTTCGCATGTTTTCGAGGATGGGAGTGGAGCTGGAGGCGTAGGAATCACTAGTTTACTGGCGTGGCGAAGTTTTCCTTTAAGGAGCTTTGCTTAAAACAACAACCACCTGCCTCGCGAGTCTCTGTTGTTGTTGCGACAGTAGCCCAGGCCAGAGGTTTTCAACCGGCTCCCTTGACCAACTTTCTTTCTGCAGTTACAGATAGGTAGCAGCATCCCTGTGGGGCTCAGGAACCCAGTTATGCCAACCCTTGCCTGCAGAGCTGGCAGACTCTCACCCTTTTTCAAACACCCTCCTTTGTGGAGTGTTCCCTCAGCCTCCTTTCCCCTTTCCTTGGGAGTCCTCTGGCCTGCTGCTGCTGCTGCCCCTAGTTTCTGAGCTGCACCCCCCCCAGCCCTGCCCCAAAGAGAGGTGCCTGCCAGAGCTTATGGCCAGGGATGCTGCAACAAACAGCTGTGCAAGCCTTTGGGAGACTTGAAAAGGCATTGGAGGAGGGAAGGAAGGAAAGAAAGAGGGACAGAGGCCAGAGTTGCCCGCGGCACCCCTGGCCATCATTCAAGGTACCCCAGGGTGCCACAGCACACCGGTTGAAAGCCACTGGTCTAGGCACACTTTTGGATATGGTGAATGAAGACCTGAGGTCTGCTAGTAGTAGCCCAGACCTGTTGCAGCTTTGGGCTTTCACAAACACTTCCAGGGTTTGCAGTCTTGTGCATGCTGGGCTGAAAGTGAGCCACATAGTGGGACTCAGAGGACTTTGCCCCCCCCCCATAAACTACTTGAGGGCCCTCCAAAGGTTAATGGGCGTTGCCACTCAAATGGTGTGTGTGTTGGTTGCATTGTGTGATTGATTATGTGGGGCTTACCTGGCCACCCCCCTCATATTTTATTCAAGTTGGCATCCAGGAAACATGTGCAGAGCGACACTCTCAATATTCCATGCGGGCGCCTGGTGCCTTGTTTGCTTAGCTTTCTCCTTGAACTCCATCCATGCTGGCATGTTATATTAACACATTTTCAGAATGTGCCAAGCAGGTGTAAACCTTAAAGAGCAAGCTGAAGGAACAAAGGTCATGGGTAACGGAGCTTAGGTGTTCCTCTTAACTGAGCTGCTGCTTATACGCTTGTTTGTCTAATCACATTAAATTCCAGACACTGTGGCCAGAGAGGAATATAGTTGTAGTGGGGGATGTGGAGAGAAGCAGCCCACGGCTAACAGGAGTGCTCCAGATAATATCAGTTGCACATTGTACTGATACAAAGATTTTCTAAAGCAGGCCATCACTACTATGCCCATTCTGTGCCAGGAGCATTTATTCACTGCTTTGTGACTTTTTCAGAGGACTAACAGAGCATGCAGCCTATCAGAGCTCCCCCCCCCCAAAAAGTTAGCCTTTGTGTTCAGTGTTCAAAACTAGATAGGTGCCAGGCGCATTTTGCACTTGTGACCAAGTGAAGATGCCCAGGACCCTGGATGGCACCTGACATCTCCACCATCTGGAGGTGCATGCCTGGGGATCATTGGGTCTTGACGCACTAATACTCCATCCTGTAGAATTCTATCAGATATATTTTATCTGCATGGTTGGAATGAATTTCAGGAACCAAAATGCTTTTTCTGTGCATCCTGAGCAGGAGCTTTTTCTGTGCATCCTGAGCTTTAGTTACCGGTAATTGTTGTATCTTGTTTTCACTCATGCCACACCATTGCCCCACTCACAGTTGTGAAGAATGTTCTTATGTTATGAATGGTCTGTATCGCCATTAAGAAAAAGAAGTAGGAATAGGCCAATATATATGTGGACTGACCTTGGATCAAGTGACTTTTCTTTGAGTTCTCAAAGTTCTTAACCTAGCCCAAGATTGTCATCTGAACTAGCCAGATGTTTAACTGAGAATCAATCACAGTCAGTGCGTCATTTGAAAAATAAGACTTTACGAAACAGCGGAAGAAGACTGGAAAAAATTTAAGGACTATTTAAAGAAATACTGTAAAATTAATGACTGTTAAAATGACGTTGGATTAGAAAATATGTGGTTATTAGCGGTAATGGATAAGTTAAAAGGAAGAAGAAAGATCAAAATTAAGTTAAAAATAAGGGAAGGATTTGCTGAATAATTAATTAGAAATTGGAATACAGAAAGGGGAGGTAAGAGGAAGTCGGGAAAGTAAGTTATAAGAAAATAAGGGTAGAAATTATACTTGTTTTTTATATTTTTTGTTTGTCATTTTTAGTGTACTGTTTTGTTTTGTTTTTGTTGTTATAAAAAACTTTTGAAACTTTAATAAAAATTTATAAAAAAAAATAAAAGCAGATATGACTCCTGCAAAAAAAAAGAAAAGAAAAGAAAAATAAGACTTTAGAGCTGCCTTACCCAAAAATGGCAACTAGACATTATGTTTTGGCGACTGTAACCTTGGCTTAAGGGGGCATTTGTGCCTAGCTGATATATCTGAATTTCTAACACTGTTTGCATTGTATACCTCGTAAGTCCATACACACCTAATGGAGGCTGTGGTTTTGAGATTTGAGTGAGATTTGAGTGTTAGTTATACAACTGCCCGGCTTAAGGGATTTTCTAGTGCTGAGCTATGAACGTAACAAGTGTCAGTTTTTCATCTCATGTGGAAGTGCTGTGAGAAGCATGATAATTTCCTGGCTGTGAGGGTCAAGCATCTTTTTTATCCATAACTTGTAGATATAGCTCACACATCCTTAACATAAGCTAAGGATATGTATGTTCATAGATATCACTGTGGAGTTATCGGATGGTTGCTTAAATATGGCAAAGGAAGCCTCCTACACACCATTGTGTTTATTGATTGATTTATACTTGTACCACCCTTTATCATAAGATCGCAGGGTGGTTCACAGAATAAGTATTGCATATGGAGCTTGTGCAAAGCCAGCATGCATTGCCACCCCTCCCTGCTGATTCTGGGCAGATGAAAGATAGAACTTTCATAGTTTGGATTGCTCTCTGCTAAGGCAAAGAATGCTGTTATCAAATGCACTTCCCATGCAGTGCTGCAATCCAATTTTTTAGATTCATCTGATGGTATTAGTAAGCACGTGGATGGAGTAACACAGTACAGTACTTGGACTTTCGAAAAGCCCTCTCACCAAAGACTTCCGAGTAAGCTGAGGAGTTGTGGAATAAGAGGAAGTGCCCTCTTATTGATCAGTAACTGGTTAAATAACAAGAGGCAGAGTGTACGGATAAATGGACAATTCTCGCAAAGGAGATATTAAAACATGGGTTTCTCCAAGGAGTTGCATTAGGGAAGTGGTGCTTTTTAACTTTCTCATAAATGATCTGGAGTTAGGGGTGAGCAGTGAGAAGGGCAGGTTTGCTGATGACACCCAATTGTCCAGGATGGTAAAAATAATTTTAAAAAGGTTGCAAGGAGCTCCAAAAGAAGCCCTTCAAATTTGATGAATGGGCATTACAATGAGAAATGCTGTTCAATGTGGGGCTAGGGGTGGGGGAAGTAAAGTGATGCTCAGAGGAACAACTCCCCCCCCCACTTCACATGTATATGGAAGCATCATAGGGTCTAAATGCAGCCAGTGCATTTACATGCAAGAATGAGTCCCATGTTTTCATTTCAGTGCTGAGTTATTTCTAACATTAGATTCCACAATCAATCATGCAATTTCATTTCATTTCAGTACTTCATGGCTCTGCTGGTTTCTGGTTTCTCAGTAATTTTGCAGACTATTCTTATGTTCTTTATCTTTAATAACAGGATGTACTGTACACACATTAGCATAGGAGTCAGCTCCTAGGGACCAAGGTCCCTTTGGCCCCCCCAGTAAAATATTTGAGCCCACTCCAAAAATTTACAAAAAGCATCCAAATCTCTGCTGGAAGTGCAAGAAAGAGGTGGGGACATTATACCATATGTGGTGGGGATGTAAGGTGGTAAGACAATTTTGGAATGAGATACATGAGGAGATCAAAAAGATCCCCAGGAGTTCTATTTCAAAAAAAACCAGAGTCATACTTATTGAGTTTATTAACAAATGACATACCCAAGTGAGGCGTTCTCAAAGTAAAGGAAGGATTGAACTCTGATTAATAAGAATACACACAGAGGCTTGAACCAGCAAGACTCTGGGAAGGGTGCGTATAATAATCTCTCTCTCTCTACCCCTAAGCCCAAGTCGTTTTATTCACAAAAGAACTTTTTACAGAGTGTTCGTAAGAACCAATCAGATTTCTTCTGAGCATTTCAACAAACCCCACGTGGAGACAAAGTTAAACTACCAAAACTAATTAAGCATGGGGTAAATAAAACAGAACTACAAAGGAGTGCATTTGGCAACCCCGGGAGGTGATAAACAAGTAATATACGTGATAAGAAGGATGGCCAGGAGGACATTATCACCTTTATGTGAGACCTGTGTCCTAGCCCTAAGATTAACATCCTAAGATTAACATATCAGAAAAGCTACATCAAAGAAACTGCCCACTGTCTTTGATGACCCAGGATGCCTGCCTGGTGAAGCAACTGGCAGTGTACGTGACTGGTCAAGAAAGAGAAATAGAACAGGGATGCAGAGGTGTGGATTGATCAAGAATCATATCAAAAAAGTTTAAACCCAGTCAACGCAATGCTTTCATTGCTGACACAGATGGCTTACTCTATATTTGTTATAATTCCTCATAGCAATCCCACCTGATCACTACACCCAAGGACAAAAGGAATATATTTTTGTAGATAACCACAGCTACAAGAATACTTATGGCAAAATATTGGAAAACAGAAAAAGTACCACAAATGACAGAATGGCAAGTTAAGATTTGTGAGTTTGCCGAGATGGCAAAAAGGACTGCATCAATCAGGGGCTGCTCCAATCAAAAATTCTATACAGAATGGGAATGCATAGGGGAATACATGAAGAAATATGGTGTTAAAGCAGAACTCTTAATAGGCAATTGTTAAGCGTGTAAGGACAAAAGAAGTAATTATAATTTAAGAGTTTTCATGTTACTCTATTTTATTAAAGCAACTAGAAAGAAATATTATGATGGGAAGATCTCACACAGGTGAAGGGAAGCAGTGGGGAGGAGGGGAGGGTTAGGTTGAATATGGGAAATAAAGTAATATATGGGACAGCAAAGGATATAATAGATTTTTATAGAATAGTAATATATTGTAACCAGAATAGAAGTTCAAAAGGGGAAGTAAATGTATTTTTAGTATTTTCATTAT